ATGAGTGATAGCGGCAACCTTTTCGAGATCGGCTTTGATACCATCTCGTCCAATAAAATGACCAACATATTTAACTTCTGAAGTACAAAAATTGCATTTCTTCTTGTTCACCCTCAACTTGTAAATGCGTAGACGGTTGAAAACATCATTCAAGTCTTTGATGTGTTGTTCAGAAGTTGTGGATATAATTATCAAGTCATCAAGGTATCCTAATATCTGGATATGTGGAAAACCTGAACACAAACGGTTTATTAGCTTTTGAAACGTTGCTGGGGCCGTGGATAGACCAAAAGGCATCGTCATATGGATAAAGTCCAAATGGCGTGACAAAGGCGGTTTTGTCACGATCTTCTTCTCTGACAGGTACTTGATTATAACCACTCTTCAGGTCTAAGGTGGTTATGTGGTTAGCTTTCCCAGTTGAATGGATAAGGTCATCTATACGAGGCAACAGGTAACGAACATTCTTGGTGACAGCATTCAGTCGGCGATAATCAACACAAAGACGTAAAGTTCCGTCTTTCTCCGGTAAAAGGATGACTGGAAATGCGTACGGCGATTGGCTCTCTTCAATGATATCGCTGGTAAGAAGTTTGTCAAGCTCCTGATGCAAAACTTCTTTCTTCGCAGGAGATAAGCGATATGTTGTTGCAGCTATGGGAATATCATCAGTGAGGATGATCGTATGCTCAGGGGGAACTCCTGTATTTTCATCGAACAAATCCTTGTTATGTTCCAACAGCGAATTTAATGTCCCTTCTTCAATATTGGAAAGAGTCGGCAACGATAAATCATTCCCGTCAGCTACAACAGACAAAACTGCGTTGGAATCAATAACTTCATCCTGTAATGGCAAGGAATTCCTTGGATCATCATTGAAATAGAATATCTTCTTAGGTAGATTGAGCACTATATCGAATTGTGATATGAAATCAACACCAAGTAACTGTCTTTGAAGTCTGGAACAGCAATAATTTGCAGTTTTGTTTGTTTATTCATCTTCAATCGAACACTGCTACATGTTTGCTTTAACTTCTCGGGGTATACCATCAGCAAATACCAGTTTACTTTGAATGATGACAGGTATCATGGGCGAACCATCAAACGTTGATAACAAACTGGAAGGTTCACCAAGATCAGCAGCGAGCATTTCGACAGATGAAATGGTTGTTGGTGCAGGTTTATATTGAGGACAATTGGAGCGAATATATCCTGGATTACCGCAACCATAACATGTTGCATTTGTGGAGTACGGGTTACTGGATCGGACTGTTGGGGCAGAAGTAGCGGACGAGGCTTTCTCAGCAGACTTGGCTTTAAATTTTATGCAAACAGCTTGAACATGTCCATTTGCTTTGCAAAATGCTCACCGGTCCTTGGGCTTTTCTGCAACGGACGTGGAAGTCATTTTCACGTTGGATTCAGTAAGGCAAGATTCAATTGCTCTGCATTTGTCGATCATCTCCGAAAAGTTCTAGAAACTATGTCGAGGAAGTTTTTCCCTGATTCTATGGCGAAGGAGTTTATAACCCATTTCTAACTTGTGCTCCTCTGGCAAGGGCATGATTGTTGTCAACTTTGAAAGCAGAGCACGGGTTTGATTCACGGAAAGTTCTGTTGGTTCCATACTGCCTTGTTCTCGAGGAAACAGCTCTCTATAAATCTGATGTGCTGGTTTGTTTACTCTTAATTGGTTGCTCCGGCGTAAAAACTACGCGAAACGAGTTCAAACGCGTGACATATTAAGCGCATCTGTTCCTTCCAAATCGGGATCGACTAACACCGGAGCGAGTAGCTTTAGTGTTCTAAACTCTTGAAAGGAATACAACTATTGAAACTAGCAATTGGCCGAAGGTGGGGTGATCGTCTATGTAACCTTCCTATGGTGGAAGTCTTGCATGCACTGGAAAAGTGGCGATCCCGTTGGTTTCCATTTCGCTATTTCTTCTTTAAATAATGTACTAATTAGCGTAAAAATTAGTCCAACGCGAACGTTTATGATTTTTATTTTTATAATGGTTTATTATACATACATATCTCTCATACCAGCGAGTGATGTTTGTAATTGTTAATTCGTCTGAACAACAGGGTCACCCATTTTGTCTTGATTTCTTTGGGACGATCGCAGATTATAAGGCATCAATAGGAAAATCCAGCTTGGAGTGAGCGAAGTGATGGAAATGTAGTGTTGAGGAACAGCAAACTCGGGTAAATCCTGACAAACAGTCGACTGTAATGTAGGAACCCTTCGAACAAACTTGGACAGACACACAGGAAAATGTAATGACGAGTGCAGAATTAGGTTGTGGTTTTTGACGTTTTTGTGGAATTTTCCAGAAATTGTGGGAACAAAATGTGAATGTGGCAAAACTTACACAATTCAGTCAATTAATGCACATTTACACACTGATAATGTCTCGCGTTCTATAGTTCATTGATCTACAGTCCCAAACTTATTCCAGAAAGTCATTGTGGTGGTTCACTACAAAACCTCAGGCACACGTTGGGACGGCAAATATGTAGCGGGTATCGAAGGGAACTCCAACACTATGCACTACACAGTGTTTTTTAATTTTTTTATTTAACAATTTGTAAAAATATAAAGTCGGCAAAATAATAGCAAAATTACTAATAATGAACTTGATCGGCTCGGGGAAACTGGCTGACTGATTAACTGATAACACTTGTCAGACATGGTAGTGGCTGGCTATGGCTACGCAAGTGTAGACGTTACACTATTGAGTAATACACGTAGGTTATAATACTTGTCTTTATTAATTATTATTATAAATTGTTTTCAATATAAAATATTTTTCTTCAAAAACAAAGCGATGCTGCCTTGACCAACTCAACTTGACATACGAGAAACGTCTAGTCTAAAAACTAAGGCTGATTTCGCCGTGTTGCGAAGTAACTTACATGGCTTGATCTGGATGTTATCACATCTCCCCCTTTAATTAAGAAATGAAATTATTTATATCTTAAGCCTTTACACAAAGTACAAGACTTCTAACTTGAGGGAAAACCACCTACTTAAAATATTATTTCTTCAAATCTTAACTTTTAAAAAAATGTTTACTGATATAAAATTAAATTTTGAAACCATGTATGCGCCGTACAAGTTTACAGGAAAGAGCGCGCCACAGAAAAATGAAGGTACCGAAACCGAAGAGGATACAAGAGAGGAGGAGATTAGGCATTAGAGAGACGAAAGAACGCGCTGGACTGGTCCCTTAGAAAACGTGTCGCGTGTCTGTAATTATTCATTATTCAATTTTCATTTCTATTTTGCATTAAAATTGATTGTTCAATCCAATTTCTTATTAGTGTGTGTGTAAGGAGCGTTCACAGGTTAGTGGATTAAATGTTATTTTGTTTTTGAGAGTTCAATTTATGCAAGTTCCTATTATTTTGTTCATTTTTATGTATTTTTTGTTTGTTTATAACATTTTTTATAACATGTGCATTGTTCATGTATTTAATCAAAATCGTTTCATACTGTAAACAATAACTAAATAAGTAAAGACGTAAATTAAAACCTAAGAAATTATGTGCTGTCTGTTTGTGCTGAGATTTTGATTTTGTGGATTTAGAGCGTGCCTTGTTGAATTTACTAACATTTTACTACCCTGACGAGAGAATATCCTAACAAATTGAAATAATCAATCTAGAGATATTGGCTCAAAAACAACTATAGCTGAGTAGCTTCCCGTATGGGACCTCAGTATTTGCTGGGAAATTGGCTAACTAACAAAAAAACTCTTCAGTATTGAATATAGGTAGTGTTGATTGAATGTAGTGTGTGTAATTAAAATTTTAGCACAAGAACAGGGACGGTACCTAATTTAAACTTTTATTGACTTAAATTATTGAATTATTGACTCACAATTATTAGGGTTTCTCTGCCGTTCTCTTTCCCCTCGAGAATTCTAGGGCGAGAACGGTACGATTTAGTTTAATAATAAAATACACGTTTCACAAATTTTTCGTTTCTTTTACATATCACAACTCCCTTAAATTTCCCAAATATTTGGTATGTCGTGCGCATGTCCAGTAAGTAAAATTGAGTAAGTTTCCACAACGTAGGTCCTATTTGTTTTTCACTTCCTTTTTCAAAATATTTGTTGTTTAAAAGGTAATAAAAATTCTCATCGTTCAATCTCACTGAACGATGTATGTTATACTACAAACTCAAAACATAGGTTATAATTAAATTTGAATGGCAACTTAACGAATCTTTTTCCAGCACTGGGAATGATATAGTTATTTATGTCATTAGGCCCAGAAACGGGTCTTTTTGTGGTGAGCTTAAGGTTTGAGCGAAGCACAAAAGGACCTTCGGGGCCGAATGGCAAACACCATTTTATCTTCAAGGGATTGCAATATTTCCTTTCACAACTTAATCACTGCTGTTTTCATCCATTTTCGTAAAATTAAACACTTAACAGTTGATAAATTCACGACGGATGATTTGTTTTCTTCAAATGTCAAATCAATATCAGTTTACCCGGAACATATTTTACTGCTCCGAACATGAGTAGTAATTTTAGGGGTAGCAGATGGATCCATTTAACTATCTGATCCAGAATATCAGAGATATTCCATTGAAAAAGCAGAAAACGCAGTTACACTGAAACAAAAACTTTTGAATCTACATATATTTTTGTTGTTAAGGTATTTTCTATCCAAGGTAATTATATCTACACCTTCTGACAGAGTTCACATTTTATTAATACCTATTAGGCCCGGTTTATCCACCTTTTGGTTCACTGTAAATGAATGAAATCTGACGAATAAAAACATAATCTAACATGTAAGCGACTTTATTCACTCTACTGTTTTTTTTTTGAAATGCTAGCTAGGGGAGTGTTACTAAAGCTTGATTTATTAAGTGATTTGACATTGAGTTTGTACTGCAAACATGTTTCTTATTATAAAAGTGTGAAATTGCAATTATTACATGTGGTTATGCTAGAATAATGATAATTAATATTTTGCTTCAGATACGCTATCAGTCAATATCTAGACTATGCTGGCGATGTAATTACTCATGTCAACATAACAAGCATCAGAGTCGAGGACGGCGGCTTATACACATGTTTGGCATCAAATGCCCTAGGAGTTGTCCAGCATTCGGCAAGGCTCAACGTTTACGGTATGCAACTTTTATCATTTTGTATGTACCTACTTTGCTTTGCTATGCAGCGTTAGATGACTAACTTTTTGTTCTCGGAATATGAAATTTTCTTAGCGGATAGGAAATTTGAATGAAAGAGGCGTGAAAACGATTTTAGGAATTGAGGTTTATTAAATGCCGGTCCAGCAATTTATGATTATTTTTTATTTTAAGTTATACAGTGTGTCCACTTAAGTTCGCAGCATGTGGGAAACTTTTTTATTATCAATTTTACGAAAAAAAGTTATTCATCATAAAAGTTCCTGCTCCTTCAAAAAAAAAATTAAACTATTAAAACTTGGAAAGTTATGTGTGCCATTAGTGGGAACATGCTGACCATTGCATCGCCGACATAAGCAGTTTCCTGAGAATTGTGTATCTTTGGAACCAGGATGCCTCATGGGAATAAACTTTTAATTTTTAGATTAGACAAAGACTTTGAGCTGTTCACACGTATTTTTTGCTTTAATATTTTAAACTTGTAATTTTTAATTAAAGTAAATTTTTTTAAAAACGGTTTTTCTATTACCGGAAACATAAAGTGGCGCAGTCGGTAGGATTCCTGAAAAGGCTTTCTCGTCGAAAAACCCTTTGCTCCCAATCGTTAATTCAAGACACGAACCTTGAACGCGGAAAGAAAAACTCTGTTAAACGAACAAGAACATTGTGTATAGTGTAAGACTTAAAAGCAGAGAAGAAAAATGAAGACTTTCCTGTTGTAAGTCCTATTTTTATTAAATTGTCCTTTACCTGTCTATGTCTTTCTCCCCGGATTTATCGGATTCTGAGACGGAAACCAGTGGAAACGAGTCAATTTTAATCGATAATAGTAATTATTCAAGTCAGTTAGATTTAAACACTTCTTTACATCTAGAAAATTTATTTTCAAATATTTCCATAAGGGAGAGAATCCAAACGATGGCTTTACCTCATTTAGTTCCAAACTACTCGAAATAGTGCCAAAATTTGATGGCATTCCTTTAGAGTTCGCTTCATTTCACGAAATAAGTCAAAAACTGATTTCCACTCATTGGAATAGTGATGATCTTAATTGTGTGCAAAATCTCGCAAAAATGTATGGAATTTATGCTAAAATACAGGTAAAGCTAGGGAAGTTTACAGCATTCGGTATCTAAGGACTGGAAGACAGTCAAAAACGCTTCAATCGAGCATTTTGGTGATCAAAGAAAAGAAAATGGCTTATTGTTCGATTTAGAGCAAAGCCGATTTCGCCACGTTTTCGTAACCCTCTTTGGTTGGTCAAAAATGTGCCAACCAATTTCGACACGAAAAACAATGACGTCACGATAACTTTGGTCTCTATTTTGGTATGTCAAATTGGGTACCGAGCTTGGAGCACGGTTATTTGAATTGGTAGCTTGCTAACTCTCTCTCTTGGAGTAATTCAACCTCACTTTTTTATTTATATTTAAAATTAAACACAACAATTATTAATAAATACAATTAATTTTCACTATTCCCAATTTTGATTTCCAACAATAAAAAGTATACTAACCGGCCGATTTCGGCTGAAAATGTTTTGCGACGTCACTGTTGTGACGAAGAGCCTACCTAGCGGTTAACCAATTTACCTACCAACCAAAACGTGGCGAAATCTTCTCAACTTAGACAATACGCGAATGAACCCCCTTTGCAATACCATACTAGAGTTATGTCTAATTTAAGTGCTTTACATAATTATATCAATACCCACAATTTCAATGATCCAACAAGTATTGTTTAAAAATACTTTTATAATTTACATGCCTCAACAATATTTTTGGCAGGTTTGAAAGAACCACTAGGTTTAACGATCCGTTCGATGAAACCAAAAGATCTAGCCGAAGCTAGACCGTACATCATTTCGGAAAGTAACATAAGACATTTACAAAAACCCCAAAATGATAATTTCGTTAATAAAAATAAACATCAAAATCAACAGAAACAGAATTTTCATCAAAATACCTTTCCACGTTTCCACAATTTTAACACTTTTCAGCAAAATTACACGCCAACACAAACGTTTCAACCACCCGGAAACACATTTTCGTGTGCCCCAATAAACGTTAATCCCAGACAGATGCCAACACAAAAAAATTCCACCAACAAACAAGTGTTTGGTTCACCCAAAAATGTGTGGAAACCAAACCCTCAAGCGGCCCAAAATTTACCAAAACCAGTACCACTGCGTGGCATATCTAATTTGCAAAAGCCAGTATCAATGAGTGGCATATCTCACGGTACCAATAGATTCAATAACCAGAACTACATCATGTAGAGAATTCACCCTATTATCTATATCCAAATCCTCACTACGCCGAAAATTATAGTTATTAATATGATTACCAAGGCTACGGTGACGGTAGTAACGGTAATAATTATTTAATGCAAAACGACCAGGTTGACTCCCAAGAACTTTACAATGACTCAAGTAACGGTCAAACCGGAGCCAATCAACTTGAAAATTATGATCAAGCACCCATTGAACAAAATTTTCAAGAGGCGGAGCTTCCCGCCGAGATGCCGTAGAAATACATTCTATTTATGACAAAAAAGATCTCCCGTATGTCAAAATAGCAAATCCACCCTTAAAGCTATTACTAGACACGGGTGCCTCAAAATCCTTTATTAATCCGGAAATTGCTGAAAAATATTTCGAAAATTTCATAAGAAAAGAACCATTCACAATTTCCTCTGTTATCAAAAAACTACTAGAGACCAACGTGCCGAAGTTCCAGCTTTCGAAGAATTCAAGTCCGAAAATAAATTAAAATTCAATTTATTCAAGTTTCATCATTATTTTTATGGCCTTATTGGTTATGACACTTTAAAAGATCTTAATGTGAAATTGGACTTACAAAGTGACTTACCTAAAATACCTAGAATTCAAGTAAAATTGTCACACTATGAAGCAGTCAAAATTACTATTTTTTTCTCGAATTGAACCTAAAACTATAGAAATATTAAATATCCCTTTGACAATACCAAATGGCGACATTAGTATTTACAAAACCTCGATTACTAACTGGTATTTTGAAAGAATGCTTAACAACTGCGAGCGGCGGCTATGTCCCAGTAGAAATTCATAACAATACTGATCCAGGAAATATCTATGTATAACCCAATTCCCGTACAAGCGTTCAATAAAGCCGATGTTGAAATTTATAATATTTCTATAGAAAACACACTTAATGAATTCCCTAATAGAATCGATATTGTCGATACATTTGAACCCAACACATGAACGAGGAAGAGAAGTTTCACATAGAAAAATTATGCCAAAAATATTCGGACATATTCCATGTCGAGAATCAAGTTTTGACCTTCACTAACCAAGTAAAACAAAATAAAAACTACTGATGAATTTCCGGTCTATACCAAATCGTATCGATATCCGTTTATACACAAACCCGAAGTAAAAAAACAGATCGGTGACATGCTGCAACAAAATATCATTAGACACAGCCATCCTCCGTGGTCCTCACCAATCTGGATCGTACCCAAAAAACCGGTCACCTCGAGTAAGACGAAATGGCGTATCGTAGTGAATTACCGGAACGTTAATGCCAAAAACATCGACGGCCGTTATCCGACACCTAACATAACGGACATACTCGACAAATTAGGCCGTTGCCAATACTTCTCTACCCTAGACCTCGCGAGTGGATCCCATCAGATAGAGATGCATCCCGACGACATAAAAAAAACCGCATTTAATGTCGAGAATGGGCATTACGAATATGTAAGAATGCCCTTCGGTCTCAAGAACGCTCCGGCCACGTTTCAAAGGGTTATGGACGGTATCCTTGAGGGCCTACAAAACCGAATATTCTTCGTATATATGGATGACATTATTGTCTACTCGACCTCCTTACAAGAACACATGATAAACCTAAAATCAGTCTTTCACCGACTACGCGAAATTCACCTAAAAATCCAACCCGATAAATCGGAATTCCTAAAAAAGGAAGTGGCTTACCTAGGCCATATCGTGACAACAGAAGGCATAAAACCAAACCCTGACAAAATCAAGGCGATACTTAAATACCCGATCCCAAAAACAACAAAAAAAATCAAGAGATTTCTCAGACTTCTAGGCTACTACCGTAAATTCATTCCGAATTTCGCCAAAATAAAAAAACCGTTTACCGATTGTCTCAAAAAGTACGCGACCATTAATGTAAATGATCCCACCTACGAGCCGCTGTTGAAATATCCCGACTTCTCCAAAGAATTTAACTTGAATACTGATGCAAGCAACTTTGCCATAGGTTGTGTACCCTCACAAGGTCCGATCGGACAAGACAAACCAATAGCTTACGCATCTAGAACATTAAATTCTGCCGAGCAAAATTATTCAGTAATTGAAAAAGAGCTCTTTAGTATTATCTGGGGAACGCGCTATTTTGGACCATATTTATTTGGGAGAAAATTCAAAATCGTCACTGACCATCGCCCACTCCAATGGCTAATGCACTTAAAAGAACAAAGTTCACGCTTAGTTCGATGGCGTCTGAAACTCGAGGAATTCGACTATCAGATAATTTATAAAAAAGGGGAAAACAATACAAATGCTGACGCGCTATCAAGAGTCGAGATAAACGCGAATGAAGTAAATGATACTTCGCCAACACCACCTGAAAATAACGACAACAACCTTGACTCAAATTTGCCGCCTGTTCTGCAGTACATGCAAGAATACAACGATAACCCCGTTCTAGACAACCCGCTTCCGAGCACAAGTCGCGGACCCAATGATCAAATTACAACACCTTTTGAAAATAATGAAAATAATCCCGATGTTGCGACCGACAATCAGTCAATTGACATCAATCAATGACACCGTACATACCGATTCTGAAAACCCTATTTTATCTATTCACGTTAGTGAAAAACCAATAAATAATTTTCTGTGTCACCTAGTCATTATAAAAATCGGAAATAACCCCAGAATTGAAATAAAGAAAATCTTCCAGAAT